ACATTCAGATTTATATTATTAGTAAGATTTCCCGGAAAATTATAGAGGTGGGAGTAACTGATAAGTTGCGCGCGCCGTTTTAATGTTGGGACAGTTTATATCGATAAAAAATATTAAACGGTCTCAAATGAAATGATTTTTTACTATCTCCAATTTTTTATCTTCGCAATAGTGATTAGTCAACACAGTGAATTATAAAAGTATTAAGTATCCAACTTTTGGTAGAATTAAATTAAAAAAATATATAAACATCTTATAATGATAACATACATAAATAAGAATACAAATTGAGCTGTTATCTATAGTAAAATAATGTAGTGATAAATACAATTTGAAAAATTAATATTGATATTTTATCGATAATCTAGATTGTTGTGGTGCATCCCCGAAGTAAAGGCATAGTTGCAGTACTGCCGCAGTACGAACAGGCTCAGTTGTCTGGTGCCGCGCGAAGAGAACAGTTCTCTCCTCTCATCTGAGGGAATCTGAGCTTCGGGTCTTCATTAGATAGCTCAGTGTGTGTTTGTCAGTGTATAAGGAAGGGTGCGTCAATTTTTTTTTAAATATGTGTTGTGTTTTATTAATTCTGTAATTTTTTATTTCTTCCCCTCTTTCCAAATTGATGTTGTTGTTCGCATGTCGATGTATTTTTTTTTATTTTTCTATAGGTTTGTGAAATTATCTTCAAAAAAAGGTAAGTTTTTCGCTTTTGTGTTTTCACTGTATTTCTTTTTTCAGGATGTTTTAAAAGGTGTTCTATGATATAATGTGATTTATATAAATTTGATAAAGAATAAACTTAATTTAATAAAATTTTATTACATTTAATGAAAAACAAAAAACAGTAAAGATTCAAAGTTAAGTTTATTGAGTGTCAAATTCAACAGCCGTAAGCAGACAGCTGACCGCGGGACTACAAGTACTTTTGATGTTGTGATTCTTTGTCTATAAAATATAATAACAGAATTTTTATACTAGACTGAAGAACTATTTTACTTGTCTTGTTGTTAGATAAATCTTGTCGTATTTGTTATATGTCTTTATAAGCTATGTATGCAGATTGCGAAGTGGAGCTTAGCGCTTGTTTTCCCACGCCAGAACCACGTGTGCGATCCCTTCAACTGAAAACACAGCGTCACTCTTATAAATGTTGTCGTATTCGATATTTATTTATTCTTTATATTTTAGAAAATTGCAATTTAAAAGCATGATAACTTAAAAAACGCTCTTTTAAGTATTATGCAAGGCCCTAAATGCCATTGTTTGCGTATTTTCATTGATTTTACGCCTGTATCTAAACTAATAAAAAATTATAATACTTTACCGTTCCGTCGGCGTTTTGGCATAAGCGATTTTATGATTTCATATTGTACAAAGCCTAGCCACAAAATAAATATAAAAGTTAACCAATTAATTCGCTGCAATACAAGAATTCTTAATAAAATTTTAACGTATCAAATTAATAATTAAATATGTCAGTACCGAAACAGGTAACAGAAAAGTTAATGATCGTTTCCCCCAAGTTTCCGCCGCCAACCCTCTTATCCATGTTATCCCATTAATGTCTATGTTGGGGTGCTTCCCGTCGGTAAGCTGAGATTCTGTGTCACTCGGTTACAATGCCAAGGTTGCTTTAAAAGGGGTAACCGAAATTGTTGGATGAGGATTTGTTTACATACAATTTTTGTTTTTCATCATTCACGTTAGTTCTGTATAATAATATATTTATTTGGGGTTACCAAATAAATAAGAGAGATTTATTTAAAATAGAATTTTAAAACCTTAGAGTAGAACTTGATAGTCAGGACTACATTTAAGAAGCAGTATAAAAAAAAAAGTAGATAGAAATAAAACGAGAAAAAGACTAAAATTTCGCAAAGAACGCAGATTCAAGATGGAGTGCGTTTGTTTGATAGGAGAAGCATTACAGAGAGAATGAATTTAATAACAATATTAGTTATTCAAGAGATGAAGAGGTTTTCAGCAAGAAGGTGGCAAGAGGGAGAAGGATGTTAGAGGGCGAGCGTGTTAGGAGGGGAGAGGGGTGAAGCTAGTGTAAGGGTAGTGTGGGAGGCAGAGGTGGCAAAGGGTGGGAGAGATGAGAGAATGGGCGTGGCTGTTAGTTTAATTCTACTTTCTTTTCACACAGTGTTAGAGGGGGGAGATGCGAGTAGAACTAGACGGGGTGGCTGAACAGGTGTAGGAAGATGACGGTAATGGATAGGGTGATAGATACTGGGTGGGATAGTGGGTGGGGTAGTGGGTGGTGTAAGGGATGGTGTAAGGGGTGGTATAGGGGATGGTGTAGGGGGTTATGTAGGGGGTGGTGTAGAGGGTGGTGTAGGGGTGGTGTATGGGGTGGTGTAGGGGGTGGTTATGTGGGTGGTATAGTGGAAGTGGGGGTAGGGTAAGAGTAAGGAGGGTGGTAAATTTGGTGGTAATTAAAAAGTGGTAGTGGAAGGGTCAAATAACGTTGGGTGGGGATGTAAATGGTGTGGTAAATGGTTAGATGTACGTCTCGGTAGTTAGAATGGTACATAGAAAAAGTTTGAAGTGGTAATTTATGATGTAAAAGTATTATAATTTTGGGTGGCGTGGAAGGTTAATAATCAGATCTAATGTATCGTCTGAAATAGTAGAGGAACGCGAGGATTGAGGCCAGAGAACAATTCGGCACAGACGAATCTGCAGACTTAATATAAAGATAGGTAGGAGATAGTAGGAGTAGATATGCAGAAGAATGTTTAGAGGAAAAGGAAGACAAAGACAGAAATTGCGGTTTAGTTGTTTTCAGGCTTCCGTACCTCGAAACGAAACTATGGAACCCTTAAAGGATTCATTTTCTTCTCCGTCTGCCTGTTTGCCAAGACCCCTTTTTTACCTCTATTTTTAGACTTCAGCAATAGGCATTTTGCTGGAAACATACATAGACAAACCGTTGCCCATAGACATACGCACATGCAATTACGGTCACTTCGCTATTTCAGCGATTTCAGGTGGCCGCTCGCTCGTTTGCCATCTTATGATATAAAAAAACTTTATAAGCTGGTATTTAACTAAACTTTTGTATGACTAAAATATTACAGTAAATTTTTAATGAAAAAATTCTTATAGTTAAGTCAACAATATGACTAAGAAATAAGTTTAAAAAGATACATGCGTAAAATCACAAAATTGATGTGAAATATTTACAGGAAAATCCTTAGTATAAAATCTCAATAAATACGTATATACAAAGTAAGATAAAGTAATGTGATATCTAAAAATGCACGCATGCTTCCCGTAACTGCAGTGCGGTACTTATTACATGTGTACGCTTCGCAAGCTACGCCAATTCTCTTAATTCAGTAGAAGTTCAGATAAAATAAATTAAAGAGCATTTGAAATAAATTGCAGATTGAAAAAAAATCTTTATAAATTGTTTAAAGATAATTTTTAACGTTCATTTTATAATTTAAAATCTTAAAAAATAATTTGGTGACCGAAAGTTTCGATAACTTTATGCGAACGGTTACGGAACTTTATACTATGTCTCTTGATGTAATAAAAAACACAGTTTTTTTTAATATATAATAAGATGGCACACGCGCAAGCGGCTGCCTTAATTCGCCGAAATAGCAAAGCGAGCTCTGCTCACTGACTTCCGTAATTGTAGATGCGTTGCCTATATTTAATCGACGGCAGAAGGGGCGCACGGAAAGAGAATATCTCAACTTCCTATGCACCCCCTTCTCCGTCAAATCCATTTCTCCTTCGTATTCTTTCCTCATAAGAAGAAGATGGGTGGGAAATAGGACTAAGATTAAGCCTGCGGTACAAGCAACATTGGATAAGGTCCATCATTGGACTGATACAAGCTGATTATAATGTAGAAATTAAAAATCAACTGAAGTATTCATCCATCCTATGTTCATTGCACTGCTAGACATAGGCCTTCCATAATACTTGCTACAGTACGTGCTCCTCCACGTACAGAATCCAGCAACTGCCGTCCGCACTAGGTCATCGAACCATTTGAAAGGGGAAAGCTTCACGTTTATTGTATCCACCGGTGGTCCTTATGATAAACAAAGTATTACAAGATTGTACAATTAATTGGGTCGAACACATAATTGAATTTTCATGTTAGTCTAAAGCTAGTGTCATTATAATTTAAGCTTTGTCTACGTGTCGGAATAATGCGCTGCTAATGCGGCTAAGGAACCCGGTCGCAAAGGGAAGACGGCTGGCGGACTTTGGACGTGTAGAGATTGCGTGGTGCACGCGATCCGACTCGTCATTCCCTCCCTTAACACGCTTCTATTTATGCATATGGTATCTCTTATAGGCGCACTTTAAGCATATCGGTCTTTGCCACTAATCCACAGAACAAACATATGAAGGATTAAATGTTTTTAATTAATTGAGCAAAATAATCTGATAAATAAACTTATAGTCTTAGCCACTTGATGTAAAGGCTTGAAATTTTGCATAGATATTTCAGTTCTTTCATAGCTAACCACTGAGAAAGGATTTTTCTTAACTGAAGGTCTGAAATTCCATAACCACGCTCACCCCGAGCGTGGTTATGGAAAGATGTTATTTCTTCAGCAAGAATACTTTGTAATTTACAATTTTCAGTTCCAATACAAAAAAATGAGCATGCTCGTTCGGGTTTTCTGGAAAACTATATTTTATTTTACGAGGTCGCGATAGTTGGCTAGTGAAAAATATGACTTTTTCAACTTTGTATCGTAATATCTCAAAAACGGTGGCCCCTAAAAAATAAATATACAAAGGTTTTTTCACATAACTAGATATTATCTCCTTCATGACAGTCTAGGATATTTTCTTGAAAAACATTCGATTTCGCCGAAAAAGCCGAAAAAAACATTTTCGAGCTATTTGACATTTTCAACCAAAATGTGCAACCGACAGGGACTTGTCAGGAGAATATATAAAAGATATATACCTAAGTAGATATTAAAACATATTCTTAAAGCTGCTTTCTTTTGTTTCAGGTCTTATACGCTCTCCATCCCAATCACCTTTTTCGAACATCCGTGTGAAAAACTATGTCAACGGATTCCGTAGTAATCGATGTTTGTCCTACACCACCACCTCCACCGGTTAACTCGCCTCCGCCTCTTATGGATGGCTATCCTCTGCCATCTCCACCTGAAATTCCATTCCCCTTTCGTCGACGTGCGAATGGATCTCGAAAACTTAAATCCAAGATTGTATTTGGTTTATTTTTGTTACTTGTTCTTGTTTTCTGTTACAAAGTCCTCTTCAAGTCCGTTTCGTGTACAGCAACCTGCGAGGCGATCATCCGTAATGGCGATGTGGCAGTCGGGGATAGGTCAGAGTTCAAAAAACCCATGGTTTGGGCGTGTAATCGGGCTTGTGGCGGAAAAAAGGAAGGATCACAATTCGACGTCAACAATGGAGAAACAACATCAATCGTAAGTTATACATAATTCTTTTGAAGTTACGAAAGACGGAAGAAAGCATGGATGGATGATGTGAAAGAGGTTATGCGTAAAAAGGGAGTGAATTTAGTTATGATAGCTGCGATGATTTTGCAGAATATTACCTACTGTGCCGACACTACGAACAGAAAAGTACAGACGGATGATGATGAATTATTTCTATTTTTCAACGAATGTAAATTTATTCAAGTTTAATGGTTATAACCCATCAATTCCACGCCCACTCGACACGTGACTACTAGAGGGCCCTAGAATTCAATAAAAGTATATACAGACTATCGATTCGTTAGCTGCGCACTGTGGTAATACAATCTTATTAATATTATAAATGTTTGGATTGTTGGATGTTTGTTTGAAGGTATCTCTAGAACAGCTACATAAATCTCACTGAAATTTTCCTTAAATGTAGAACGTAGTCTAGAAGACCACATGGACTACTGATTATTTTTTTTTCTTTTCATTGCGAGAGGACGGAGTCGCGAGCGACAGCTAGTACTCTCTAAATGTAACAACTTTACGATCCTATTGACATGCTATTATATCTTAATACGACGTTTGATCTGGATAATGTAGCTTTTAGTAGTTGAAAGAATTTAAATTGCTAAAGTATACAGAATTTACTGGCAAAAGTATTTTTTATTTAATATTAATAGCACAAACATTAATACAGTAATCTTATAATTCTTCGTTGTATATATAGATATATTTTTTGTTTCAGGTAAGTACGACTTTTATCAACGAAGTCTATCAACTTTATGATTGTATGATTAATATTTTCGCGAAGGTAAGTCTTAATTTTTTTATTGCTCTTACGTATTTGTCTAGCTTCAAATGGCGATGGCAAACTGACTGGCGTTCTAGTTTACCATTAGTGTAAACTATAAGCTTCTCTTATTACCAAATATAACTTACAACATACCCCTCTACCAATCTAAACATTTTCTTTGTTTTCAATCGTAACGCCTGTTAGGTTCTACTGTTATAAAAATTAACATAAATATATATGATCACGTAAATCAATATATATTTTCTGCACCGTTCTTCGGATATGTTATTGCGTTAAGTTTAAGACCGCTAGAATATCGCGTAATTGGGAAGCACTTTAGTGTCGTTCCCACGCCCGTGCCGTTCCTGACACTGACCCAAAACCCGACGCCGAATGTAGCAATTTCAAAATTAACATGTCTAATTTTAAAATACTTTTGGTCTAATGAGTATAGAAGCCACTCCGCGGCACTCGCGTTAACGATACGCCGGCCACCACGCGCATCTCTAATTAACTGATCATAAAACTATGAAAGCTTTGTTCGAAATTGCGCAAATCTAAATAAAAAACGCGCACACCTAAAATAAAACTAGCCGTCGCCGCGCGCGCAGACACGCCGGCAAACGGCGGATTCAACGTCCCGGAATATACATCGAGTACTCTCTGAAAATATTCCGTGAAAACGTTGGAACGCGGCCGGCCGACATCCCAATCGTCCCTTACACAGTCCAAAATTCTAACGTAAACAATGGACGCGACTCGTGATTCAAATCTGTGAGCAGTTCGAGCGTAAAGTGTCCTGTTGTGTGTTAGTGTATTCTGTTGCCAATTGAAAGATAAGGCGATATTAATGTTCGCGGGTGGTGGAGCCGGGTTCCAAAAGCAGTCGAAACCGCCCTGGGACACCTCCAACTCCAACGCCGAGATTACCCCCACTTGGTAAGTTGTTTGTATAAAAAATCATGCCAGAAAATATAGTTTAATCTGTGGAATCTGTAAACATATAATATTTATACTAAGAAATTTAGATTAAAAATCTTAGAACGAAAGAATGCCATATCTTAAAATTTCATTTGAAATAAAACATATTTTTAAAAAGTATACGATGCATTTAAAACTTATAACAACAACATAACTCACGCCCGTAACCCAAAGGGGTAGGCAGAGACCACGAACCTCTGTTTGGCGCGGTCCTGACACACCTCTCTCGCTTCTTCTAATTTATACTTCTACGCATACATGTACGTCGATTTCGAGTGCTCTTAATATCGTGCTATTTGATTGTTTCGCCAATAACAGTATAACAACTTTAAAACCAACCAATGAAAACATCAGTTTAAATATAAAATATCGATGACAAAAGATAAACAAAATTTAATAAACGGTTACTAATATCTTTTTAAGATTTTAGTAGAATTTTTTTTATTTCAAAACACTCGTGTTAAAAAATTCATTGTTTCATAACGACTGTCAGAAAGTAACGTGAATTATACGTCAATACATTTCACCATAAACAAATTCCGATAGATCTCGATTTGTTATTTTAGATTAGAACTCGATTGGTGTATTCCATAGATAAATATTTATACAATTTGTAAGTTTCAAAATAAATTTTGTTATGAAGTCTTTATGTCTTTACTCATTTTCTTTGGGGCTTTAGTTTCTGTTTCTGTTTATACAAGTCGTGAAAATCTAACAAATAGGGCAATTATGTACGTTAATAATATAATAATAATTAATAAAAACATAATTATATGCTATTAATGCCTTTGGTACCTCTCATTTTATTTGATGTAAAATAATTTGACAAAGACGAAAAATTTACCGTACAATTTATTTACACAAAAGTTATCGTTTTACGGACGCGTAACGTGCTGTTTGTTTTGTTGTCAAAAATTTTGTGTAATATTCAAAACGTTTTAATGTGTTTCATATTGAAAACTATTAAAGCATGAATATACTTATAGGAAAACTAGCTGTCGCCCGCGACTCCGTCCGCGTGTTTACCTAAAAAATAAAATTTTTGGGGTGGACTACCCTTAACATTTAGGGGGATGAAAAATAGACGTTGGCCCTCAGACCTACTCAATATGCTCACAAAATTTCATGATAATCGGTCAAGCCGTTTCAGAGGAGTATGGGAACGAAAATTTTGACACGAGAATTTTATATGTAAGATAATATTACCAACCATTTACAATACTAACCTTAACGATTTCTGTAGAATTGTTTATCTATAATAACAATCCCATTGGCTTATTTTTCTCGGTATGAACGCACATCTTCTGAGACATAGAGAAGATATCCATAAATATAAGATTCGCAGTTGTTTCAAATTCTATTTTTAGTGTAATGTTTTATAAATGCTTGTAGATACAATTATTACGTAGATTATGACTTTAAATGTAAACTCATACAAAACACGTAGTTGATTTGAGCACAAGAATTTAATAACATATAAAATATTGTTATATTAAAATATAAAAAAAAAATAGTTTGAAAAAAACTAGACGACAAGAAAACAAGTCGTGTTGAAGATCTCGAATGTAGCTAATTTATAAATGAGTCTATTTGACTTTTTTAATCTTAAAATTCATTAGGTCTATAAATAAGTCAGATTCTTTAACTTGGCTATTTTTAACAATGAAAACACAGTAGAGTGTTGTAACAACGACGGCCGTGACTACGATGACACTTCTCGTCTGTCTTTCTAGGTCAATGATGCATCCTGCAATGTTGCTTGGTACACAACCATTAGACAGTCATATTAAATTCTCCTTTGATTAATTTAAATTAGTACATTTAATATATATCTTGAGACAGAAAAAGCTCTTTCTAGAAATTAAGTTGCTTCAAGGGAACGAACGTAAAATTGCTTTATTTCCACTAATATGTTTTTAATACTACTTGTTGTTCTCAATTTTGCACGAGTGTCTTAAGATCCTCCTACAAATTATATCGATTTATGCTAACCGTTGGCTTCCACTACCCAAATAGACATAGAAAAACATATAACTAACTCCATTTTCCTTGAAATAATTGATGATACAAAATGGTTTTCGCTGTCTCGGCAGTGGAAACCCACGGTTCCACTTACCTCCGTCCTTCCAGTGAACTCTCGTATACATCACAGAAGGGAGCTATTATTATACGCAAACGTCTGATACTTATCGTTATTAAAATGAGCATAACAACTTGTAAACATCATAAGCTGTTTCTAATGATTCCTATTAGAGAAAATATTTATCATATTTTTCTTATAACAACAATCTCAGTCTAGACGTGTATTTTTCTCGTCTTAACGAATCTTATATAAATATGACCTTTATTAAGCACTAGTGCGACGCCCCGAGTTCGCGTGGGTGGCAATGCATAAGTACGTCTGATGTATTTTGAAATAAATTCTAATAAATATTTATCAAACATTTTAATTACAAGATTCAAACACAAACTTTAATCCAACGCTGTAGATTTTTAGAGGGAAAATCGTCACAAAACTCTAATTAGTTAATTAACTAATTATTTGTCGACAAAAGATTTTGTCCTTGATTAATGTTTTGATATAAAAGCAAACAAACATTTAAATGAGTCGAAATATATTGTTATTTTACCTGTTCTCCGAAGGTTAAGCTGAAATCATAATATTCAATATTTACTCGTTGTGATGGAAAATTAAGAAAATTCACGATGCCAAGTCAAGATGGCAGGAAAAGATAATAATCAACAAATTTGACGTATACCAAGGAAATTAATTATAAACCAAAATTTTCCTGCGACTGATGAGATGAGGCACGAACTGCGCAGTGTGTTTGTGTCGAAAATATTTTGTCATTGCATATCAACTAGTAATCTGTAGATGATACGGGTGATATCATCGTCAATTACCAATGTTATTCGTTTTTCAAATTTCTTAGATGTACATATAAAAGTTTTTACTACAAAAGAAAGCATTGCGATGCAGTCTGTACATATCTAGAATTGAAATATGGGATAAATCAATTAATCTGCACTCGCCACATATAGATCACTAAAGCTAAATCAGTCTTTACTTTGGGTTAGTGTTAAGCCCATCGTTGGGTTCATATGATCTGATGACTAAGTACTTAACATAACCCTACCGTAATTACGTAATATTATAGCCGAGATATGTCTACTCGTTTGTACGTTTCAAAACCGAATAGACACCTTCAAACTTCGCGCGGACTTG